ACTCTTCGGAAATGGCCTAATCCATCTTCCTGGCGAAATGAGAGGATATACAATTATCTGCCGTGCAGCGGAGCCGTGCCCAACGCTCACTGCAGCCTTCCTGGAATGTGGGGTTAAAAAAAAAAAAGTTACGGCTTTTGATAAAAGTTAACAAATCCAAGATCACAGTGGGAAGGACCTTAAAAGTACTCGGCCTTCCTGGAACAATCATTGATTTGATTAGGGAGGAAGTTGGATTCTGTTCCACGGGCTCACAGCTATTATAGGCACAGCTAATCTACACTGTGGTTACGTTGTACAAATGGCTTTCACTCATTAACTAATGTACATACACATATGACGGAGATTATCTAACCAGAATCTTTACTAATGTACCCATAATTAACTTAATACAAGTATCATCAATGTGATTAAGTTATTTGTGTGTGTTTAGCGTCATTGAGATGAAAAATGTTAGGAAATCGAGTATGTATCAATAGAGTATGTATCAATTATTCTAATATTGAATAAAACACCTACTTGTCTAGTTTCACAATACATTTCTGCATTTCTATGATTTTAAACCAGTTGGACCTCTTAGGTTTCTCTGCTTTTTCAAGATTTTGTCCACCATATTCCTCTATACTTACTATTTGACGCAGTTTGCGTTGTAATGTTTACTGTCTATAAAAACAAGTGTCCTGATCAAAAGCACTCAAAGCTTTAAGTGAATTCAACATTTTGATGAAGTCAGCGTAAAACATGCTCTTTTCCTGAATCAAGTTGTTTGTAATGAGCTTACATCTATATAAGTCATCACTGAGTGGCGTATGTAGACCTTCTGACTGAGCTGTGTAGTTTGAGGCATCGTTGTGAGAATGTTTTGACTGTACGTGCATTGCTGTGATAAAAAGCTGGCCGAACATTGTCAAAGTTTTCTTTTGACATGAAGTCTCTCCAGTGAAAGTGTTCTAATGGGAAGTGATCAGCGTTCATGGGCTCAAAACTTAAACAAAGTTATTTCTTGTATCTATCCCAAAGCTCACGCTTTATTGTGAACATATGCGCAAAATATATTTACTTCTTTGATTTGGAAACAGTTGAGAGGACATTCGCAAATGCTGATACTGTCCAGATTTGAACGCATTTTTTCCAAATGATAGATAATATTTTTACTTCAGGAAAAGAATTTGTTTGACCAGTAGAATAAGCGAACCAAAATCCTGTTCCAATACTTACATGCGTAATGATTTCCAGATAACCCCTCGTCAATGTCATCCTGAATAAATACTGTATTAAAAATAAGAACATGAAGTGATTTCAAAATCAATCAAACAAATCCCTGCAAATGGTTTTTTATGGTGTGTCCGAATGCTTCACTTTCGGGAACCTACCTCCTCTTTTCCCGTCGTTCTGCCGGTTAGCCACCTGCTGTGTGAGCCGGCGTCATCAAGCCGCCGGCTCACGGACGCTCTGCTGATCTGCTAAACAAGGGAGGGACAGTCTCTGGGATCATTTGTTTATCGTGGAGTGTGGGTGTAGTCCATGTTCCATGTGAGCCACATCAAAGTCAGCAACGCGGCCTTCCACTGAGCTCCACCGCACCGACAAAGCATGATTTACAGACGTGTTGCCGGCTCACAACTGTGGGGAACCCCATATTCTGCACAGAGTGTGAATACACATTTCTGATAATCAGCCTTGAATCAAAGGCAGACTGAGGGTGGGCCGACTGATGTTTTGGGGCTGATGCTGATGCCGCAGGTGGTCAACCAGGAGGGGGAAACCAGTTCTGGACTCTCTGATCCATTAATAGGAATCAGTCTCACTGTGCAACAGGCTTGACACTGTCTTCGGTTACAATCAAAGAATCAATCGACTATCGCTTAATCCTCAGTCCTGTGACTGGACACATAAGTGTGCAGTGCAAGTTAAATGAACTAAAACACTTCAAGAGGAAAAAGGTCGGCTAAACCGATTGACGCTAATGGAAGATCACTTTTCCCCAGCTCAACATCTGGAGAGTAAGAGAGTCATCACAACAGGCAATGCAAGAGAGCCAAGCTCTGCCAGAGGACCGGATCATTTTTCAAATGTCAAATGTTTAGTTAATCAAGAAAAGTTTCTCACAGCAGGCCAGAAATTTGTGTATTTTTGTGTTTTAAAGCATTACATGAAAATATGACATTGTGAGTTCCAATTTTCTGCAGCGTTTATTTATTTTACATTTTATTTTTGTCCACTTGGGGGCATCACAAGACGCTGTGAACACAAAGCTGACCCATTATCACCTTTCAATGTTGCTGTATAAAGATTAACTTGTTAGTTAAATAGATAGTTGCAGTAATGGCCAACTGTCATTTGGTGCTGGGAAGGTAGCATTCAGTGAGTAACAGAGCTGCTTAGCTACATAGAAAACATGATTTGCTGCACCTGGAGATGCTGGAGGATGGGGCAGGCTGCAGCGTGTCATCCGCTCTGCACAGAGGGTGATCGGCTGCAATCTGCCGTCCCTGCAGGACTTGTTCGCTTCCAGGACCCTGAAGCCAGCTACAAAGATGGTAGCCGACCCCTCTCACCCCGGACAAAAACTGTTTGTGCCCCTTCCATCTGGCAGGAGGCTGAGGTCCATCAGGACCAAGACGTCCCGCCACACAAACAGTTTCTTCCCGTCGGCAGTCGGGCTCATCAACAGAGCCCGGTCCCCCACTGACTGACTCTGACATCCCACCGGTCACTTTCTCTCTCACTGCACACGTCACTTTCACTTGTCACTTTCTGTTCGCTGGTGCACTTTATTTTTTTTAATATTTTTAACGTTTATTCATTTATTTTTGACCTAACCCATAGCATTATATTTTATTTGTCGTGCTGTCTGCTGTTATGCACCAACCGCCATGTAAAATTCCTTGTATGTCTGACATATTATAGGAATAAATGTTTCCTGATTCCTGAGGATGCTGAGAATAAATCAGAACATTAGATTGTAAAACCATAGCAATGAGCCAAAAGTTGATAAAATGCTTCTTTGGAGCTGAGAGGAAGTATAGGATGATTATTATGCTTATTCTCTGTGTTTGTCACTATGAAAAACACCCATTACAGTTCAACCATTGTTAACATGAAGACATTGCAACATATAAAAGTAGGAAAAGACAGGGACTGCGGCTCCAGGAGGACGACCACCTGCGTCCCACCAACGTCTCTCTGGGTATTAACATCAGCATTATTTAGCTGGAGAGGACTATTTCCAGTTATGATTCACATGCAAGGGATGCTGAGGTTATCAAGTCTGACTTCAAGGGAGTCCACCTGCAACGATACAATTTTAATCATCCCTGAAAACAGAGGAGACTGCGAAAAAAAAAGATCAAAATTGTATTAGTGGAGGCCAGGGTGATGATAGCACGTCAGGTTTTAACCCAATCTCAGTTCACTCATTCCAACAAGAGTAAAATCTGTTTAAGCCTGTGTGCTCAGGTCTGTATGTCAGAGAAGTCAAGCTGCAACCAAACTGAGGCTGATTCGTCTCTTTCTTTTCAAAGATCCCATTTTTTTTTACGGAATTTATGACACCATCAAAGCTCTTTGTCAACTTGTGATCTTGAAATGAGTGGCCGAGCACCAGGGGCGTGCTCACAAACCCCGTCCTTAAAAACCGCCTGCACACAGTCACCACATGCCGAACCATTATCCCGGGCACAAGAAGCTTTGCTGTCCAAAACATTCACATCACCTTCCGTCCTCTGGGAGACTTTAATCATCTGTTACTCAGATTCCTGTCGCATCTTATCATCATGGTTCCTCTGGACATCTCTACACTTATCAGCACCGGAGTATCAACATGCGGCTCATGCTGCCCCGCAAAGATGTTATTTGAGTCTCCTCTTTTCTTCTTGGATGGTTTAAAATGATGAATGTGTTTGAAATGCCATAACCGGACCTATCCCTCTTTGTTTTTGGTCTTCTGGTTCTGGCAACATTCAGCCTCTCTCCTCGGCATGGAAGGGGAACAACATCAACTTGGACGTCATGTGTTGTTTATGGAACACATTTTTTTTCCCTATGAGGGATTGTTTTGGTTGTAAACATACTCTTTTGTTCATCCAACACATATTTAATATTTACTTAATCAATTCAGCTGTCTATCCCTTTTCTGACATATAACAGTACATCCAAAAGTAACTTTTCCTGAGAAAATGGAAAACATTTTTAAAAATTGCTTTTTTACGAAAAGCAGCTGTCGGATTGAATTCTTTCAAGGTAAATGTGCACTCGGGTGACAAAGGTGGCTAAAAAAAGTATCGCCTCCAAGCATCTACAGTTACATCAAACACGTTCAATACTTCCTCCCACTCCCCAGTTCAGTTGGTTGTCTTTTGTCTCCAACAAAAGAACTTGACACTTTGAATTGGAGCCTGTGATGGATCGCTTTTGAGGTCAGAAGCCTTTAACGGTATACTGGTTTCATCCCAACCCGGGCTTCCAGTCCTAAACTGGTAGCTCCAACATGTGTCGAGACTATAGAATAAGGCGTTGAATCATTGTGGGAAAGATGGTTTTGGTGACTGGCTGACTATGCACTATAGTTTATATATTTGCACCACATTTTTCTATTTTTAAGGAATATAATGCACCGTATGATGCACTGAGAAGCTGACGTGATGCATAGTTTGCATAGCCAAAATAATTAATCATTTTAAGTTGTCATTCAAAAAATCTATTAACGTCATAGAGAGGGATTACCAGCAGCGTGCCCGGGTCTCTCCTCTAATTGCCTCATTATTCATGATACAAAACTCTTAAGAATCTAACAAAAGGTTCTCTAGTATTTGCATTACTAACTCTACCACCTTCGGCATTCCTTGCATCACGAGGGATGCCTCTCCCACAGGAGGAAAACAATGGCCAACCTTTTTGGTTCTAATTTTGTTCCAATTTAGAGAAAAAGTCATTTCTAACTTGTGATCACGGACAACAACAATCCCTCTTTATAGCAGCCTCCCCATGACTCCCGGTCGTGTCAGTCGTGAATGGGCGGAGGAAGGATTAGAATCCTATAAAAAGAGAAAGCATCCGAGATCATAAAACACCCGACTGCGGGAATTAAGGGGTTCACTCTCAGCCGGACAGACAAACCTCTGGTCAAGTTTCTCTCTGACATTGAGAGCATCCGCATTTTTTTTTTTTTTTAGCAAATTCTCTTCTCCGTTGTTTCGCTTCCACGCTGGGCTCTGTGTGTTTTTTCTTCTTCTTCTTCTTCTTCTTCTTCTGTGTCGATGGTACATCCGAATTTCTTGTTGAAGGATGCTCGTCTTAACTTGGGATAGGTGCTGCGCTTTGATGGTTCTCGTCGCCACACTGAGGACGGGAACGACCCTGCTGTCGGAGGCGCACCCGAAGGCAAATTTAATCAAGCCAGCCCTGTCGGGAGGGACACCGACACCGGCCACCAACCTCTCCGACGCCGTCCACCTAGGGATCACCAAGAAACATTACACGCTTGCGCAGGTAATTTTGATCAATTAAATGATATATGTGGCGTGCACGCGAGCTGTATTTACAAAATGCCTGTCGTTTGGTTGAAAAAATATAAGATGACTTTTTAATGGTAATGATAAATCATCGAATAAATAAAGTAGTTTCTGGCCCCTCTAACAAGCAAATCAACGAAAAGCTCTATTTTCTTCATTTAACGAACATCACACGTTTGCCGGTGATCCAGATAAACGTGCGTAATTGTGCGCGGCGTCCCCACAACTGTTCCTACCCGCAGCATCTTGAGGTGTGAGGGTTAAATGGCCCAATGCCTCAGAATGTCTCTCTCACGTGGGAATCGTTATTGGAAATTGCAGGGATTGGACCCCTCATAAACCCTAATTGCCTTGCAGACCTGACGCCACAGTCGGGTGCAGCGCACTTCGACATTAATGCCAGCAGAAATGTGAGAAAAAGTTAACACTTTGGGTAATTTTCTGTCTGGGTTTAGTGTCATTAAAGTGGTCCAGACGCTCGCTGGGATTATGGGATTCTTACTGGTGGGCCTCTGAGGGATACTCTTACCAACCACTTAATACCCACTCAAAGAGTTATCAATTCCTGCTGTTTCGACGTTGGGCCTTATCACCAGAGTCTGAGAGCAAACGTTTGGCAGGTTACATTGTGGCGGAACGGAAAAAAGTTGTGAACATTACGAGTTTTTATCAAGTATCAAATTAGAGCTGTAGATTTCCATTGCTTGGCCTGGAAAGAACCATTTAACTTCTCATCAGTTTTTTATCCAAAGAGGAAAACAGATACTGGTGGAAAAGAATCACGACTCATCAGTCAAACAAAAAAAAGGGAGGCCTTCATTTCCAATTATCCATAAGTCTGATTTAATTGGACATTAGTGTGATTGTGTTGAGAGATGACCTCTTTGAGCAGCAGATGGCACTGCAGCATCTTCATCAGCTCACCAAAACAGCTGATCCTTCTTGTCATTGTTTTCTCGCCTTAGTGCCCTTAACTCTTGTTTGCATTTGTCCTGTTTAAGTGTCTGCAATATTACTTTCAGCAGTGAACGTGTTGGATATCTGTGAAGTGCGCAGTGTTGAGAGCAGCGCGTTGTCATCCAGATCAGGCAGCATAAAATTATTAAAAAAGCCACTTTCTCCAACCTCAAGCAGCACTGCCAGACCTCATTTTAAACGCCTGCTTTCATCTGAGCCGTTGCAATAATCGGGAGCGGTTTGGAAGAGTGGGCTGAGGGGAAACAATATGTGTGTGCAGAGACCACCATAATGTTTAAAAAATGAACATTACATGGTGCCGTATGTCCAAATGAAGATATGCAATATTTATTGGAGAATTGAGTGTGTGTGTGTGTTCTGGCTACCAGGAGGTTTTCCAGAGCTGTAGATTAACAGCCTCAGCTCGGCACTTGGCTAAATATGCTGCTTGACGCTGGCAAGCAAACGGCAATGACCGTCTTGCGACAGAGTGGCCATTTATGAGCAGAATAAATCACAGATAACAAGTCGTCTCTCTTCACAAGGCTGTAATGGAAACGTGTGTGGCGTCTATTTAGTCTAGGAGCGATCACAGGGAGAATGAAACTGCAATTACTCTACTTTAGAATTTAAAAAAATTATGATAAATGCCTTGAAACAGGTTGCATAGCGCAAAACCACACATTACTGAGCCATTTTCTGTCTGAAGTGGTTCACAGCAGGCACCCCAACATATTTTCATCTTCGTCTGCAATTATGAAGTGAATTACTGCTGATTAAAGCTTGGGTGTAAGTTTGGAAAATGGGCACGGCCATCAACTCAAATGCTTCCGTGTCATCTGCATTACACGAAACCCGCAGAGCCGATATCCTATCAGTAAATCGTCGGCGTCATGCTGTTGAGTTTGTTACAATTGTGGAGGAACAGTCGACAGATTTTCAAACCCCTACAGGTTTTGCATTGGGTTCAGGATGTAAGTTTGATTGTTTTATCCCTTTATATCCCCGACCTTTGATAAGACTCAAGTCAGCTTGACCTCTTGAAGATTAGAAGTAGGTGAAATCTCCCAGAAAAACCTCCCTCAGTGGTTTACTTTCAAATGTAGCAAATTATGGAGGCCGGTCTCCCTTGGGAGAAAAGCCGACTGCTGCGGGAAACAAGGGTGTAATTTGGTGATTTACCCATCAGATTATGAACGCTGCTCTAAGTCTTAGTTTACTTGACAGTTTAATGTGCTTTAGTACACTGTAGCTGCTGACATCGTCTGGCGATAAAGCTTAAATAAGCCACACACAAACCGGGCTCGGGTTCCGGCATCCCTTTGCCGTTCAGTCAGGGAGCAAACTGCCGAGTTTTTTTTTTTTTTTCCTGTTGTCTGACCCTTTTCACATCAGTAAATCAGAGAAAACCCAAAACCTGCGCCTCTTAGACCGTGACGGCCGGCGCTCTCGGGTGGCAGTGTTGTGTCCTTGGAAGAGAACCAACAGAAACGGGTAGCGCTCACCGCCGTAACCTCTGGACCCACAAGGGAACCCGGCAGCGTGGCGGTACGTGTCTGTGAAACATCAGCGGCCTGTCAGTCAGCCATAGCTGGTTGCTTTATTTAATTCAACACAGAGATAACCTTAACCAGCGATCCCTCAGGGCTCCGCCTATAAAACTAGAGCCACGTCCTTTCTCTTTCTTTGTGTAACCTATAGGTGAATGTTTAGTGATCCTAATGAGCTGAGAAAAGAGGTGTGAGTGCTTGTTAGCGGCCGCTGCGGGTTTTTTTTGCCTCGCCCTCTTGTCCTGTGGCCTTTCCACTCGGTGGGTCCCTTGGGTGCTGTGAGGGCCCTCCGCTGGAACCATTAGGGGCCTAGTGCGGCAACCCCCTTTACTGAATTGAACCTGTCAATGAGAATGGAGACCTGCGCACCTTCTCATTTCACAGGATTACACATTTTATAGCAGCACACCTTCTAGATTACCATCAAGAGCTTTTCCGCTGGCCTTTGATGGTCTTTGAAGAGAAAAGTCATGTACTCCGTCCGTAAGCCTTTCCTCATGTCCGATGAATGTATACTTAACTTAAGGAAGGTCTACTTTTTGGAGGCTTTGGATTCTAGCACTCGAAGGGACATGCCCATAAACACATGTGTTTCGAGTGATGAAAGACGCCAAGCTGTGTTTGAAGGCATGGTTCGTACGAGTCACTTGTGTGCAGCCATCCCCATGTTATCTGATACCGGCTGTCTGTGCTCTCAGGGCACATGCACGTTGTTTGTTCAGTGACATCGTTCCTTCGGCACCGTTAACCGGTTTTAGGTTATGCGCTTGATTTCTGAAGGTCAAGTACGACATGCGGCTCAAAAAGTGTGGACGTGTGGCCGAGAGAGTGAAGAAATCCCTTCGCCAGGCTTCATTGCAGTTTTTAATAACGATGGAAGCAGAGGCAGTGCTTAACACGGCCTCTGGCGGTCACGCAGGATTCATAGAAGCGTGGTCACATACGTAACGTTCGGTTGTCCAGAAAAGGCGGCGGATTGTAGTTTGTCCTTTTGGCACTTTTGCGGTGGAGCAAGTGAAACCTGGAGTTTATAATTTTTTTTTGCAATTAAGTTAATATTTGCATAAAAAGACAGCTTTCACTTGCTCCATGGTTAAAAATGATATGTTTTGTATTTATATAACAATACCAAAACCTAATTCAATCGTTTAAATGACAACTTTCTTTGGCTTGGTTTAAACATGAAAAATGACTGAAAACCGGCTTTGAAAAGTGAAACATAGGGTTCAATCCCCTTAAACCCCAAACCTTCTCTAAAGTCTCTAAATATGAAACCCTCTAACTCCAACTAAACAGTGGAGACGATATTTTGTGCTTTTTGAGGCATTACAGTGCACTTCCGTTGAATTCTATCAGCACTTTGGAATGACTACCAAGGTAAATAAAGGACCCAAACACCAAGGGGGCAGTTTCAAAGCCCTGTATATCCGGCAGTAAATCCCTTGTAGATTGATGCTCCTGCACTTTTAAGGATTCTTCTTCAAAGCCACAATGCTTAACCAGCACGAGAGCAGCACGAGACAGGCCCGGGGGGCTTCCCTCATGGCTCTCCGTCTGTCTCTTCCTTTATCATCTCACCAGCATACCAGGAGAGGCTGCGGAGTCTCCAACCCGCTTCCTCCGCGGAAACCGAGGCCGGGCTTTTATGTGTGATGGCTGTCGAGGTGGGAAAAATAAGGGAGCAACAGAAAAAAAAAAAAAAAAGATGTGAGATAAATGAGATGCATCCAAATGAAACCCCGTCCCTCAGAAGTCGTGTATGAGGCAATTTAAAACACGACAAGATAAGGCCAGATTATCAGCCGTGATTTTAGGGGTCAGGCTTGTATCGTTGGGTTTCAAAGGGCTGTCTTTCGATAGAAGAGGTGAGCCCTGTTCTTCTTCTTCCACCCCTCCAACGTGCACTGTGCACTGTAATCGATCCAAGCCCGTGGCCAGAAAATCAGATAGTATGAAGTACTACTGCACATGGCGATGCACTACATGTTTCTCTAAATGAGCATAAAACAGGCTTCATGAGGTTGGAAGTTCATTCTTGACTTTCTAAAATAGTTCGCTATTCTAATCCTGATGTTCTTTCTTTGGTCAAAGTGGAGTTTAAGATTCACTCTCTTGGTGAGAGTTAAATCAGCGGATCAAAAGCCCTTCAATGTCTTTACCGTGGAAACAGAGCTTGAGCTGGAGATGATTAGTTGTCCTTTGAACTATATTTTTTGAGGAGGAGCAGTGACTTCTTGGACTCTGTAACTCTCTCTAGAATCACACATGTAGACTTTTGCATTTGTTCAACTGTGCATTAAAAAGAGGAGAGAAATGACATCACAGGTTTTCATGGGCATATTTTGAGGAGAAAGCGTGGTTAGCTGTTGCCCGCTGCTTCCACCATTTCTGTTATTGTTATCTTTGTTATATCAGATTTTAAGGGCAGCTCCTGGCATTTATATCCCATTGATGACGTTCATTAAGTTTTGTTCTATCTCTGTTATAAGAATTCCTCTAATGCCAAGACAACCCGAATAACATAACCAGCCTTATATTCTCCAATTTCTTTTGTTCATCCACATCGAGGGGACCGAAAAGTTCTCCCTACAACAAGTAAACCGGGTCCCTTTGAAGTAAAGCTGTTGAGTATTCTGAGAACAGCTATGAACTGAACTAATAATTAGGAAATATTTGGAATCCATCAAACATCAGGGCTTTGTTACTTTAATCAACACATTAGGCCTCTGCATTGTGGGAATCTGTCATAGTGATGGATGAGGATTCAATTTAACATTCCTGCTCATTTCTCTACGTCTGTATCATTGCCTCCATGTGTTTCCAGGTTTAGAAAGTCCACATGGCATCCGTCCAACACGTCTCACATTGTTCACTTCCTAAAACAAGAGCCCATCGTCAGGGAACAACTTCCCATGTGCTGAAATACTCAACCTTGAGTTCATTTTAGCACGTGAAGTACGTTCATGTCGTGAGCACGGCAGCCACTTCCTGCTTACATACCAAATGGAGTTTGCTTTTTACTATAGCGGAAAGGATTCTAACCCGTGTCTTGTTTATTCTCATGTTTATTGTCCCATGCTTGTCTGTGGTAAGCCACGCAAAATCACATCTGTCTGTGCAATGGCGGCTCGATGTGGTTGTGGTGCCGGTGGAAGTTGTTCCAACCAAACACGTTGTTTTAATGTGTCCATCCATGGTAGCAAACATGTGATGAGAATAGTGTAAAATGATAGAAACATTTGCAGCAATTTGAGAGAGAGACGGTGACCAAACCTTTATTCCTTGCGGCTCTTCAAAATGTGCAGCTCACTTTATGAATTCACTGCAAATGTTTATCAGAATGTCTTTGTACTGGGGAGTTCATTTTATTGTGTACCAGTAAATAAATACCAGTAAATCTTCTCATTGGTGCATTCAATTGCTGTGGAAAAAGCGAATGCGCTTTTAATTGTGCTTCTCTCTGCCATGGACAGTCGATGTTGTGTTTGCTAAAGTGGTCGTTTTAATGCACTTACGGAAAAGACTTTTAGGTGTGCTTTGTCGAACAACAGAATATGACTCAACCGTTTCAGCGTAAACACAAACATACTAAAGCAAAAACTATTTCAAATTGACTATGAAGAAGTGTGATTAGCCACAGTCATTGCCTCACAACTATGTTTGTAGACTCATTAAGACTCTAAACACTTTTGGAGAAGACAGACACTGAAGTGGTCTTTCTTTTGTTTGTGATAACTGCAACAAATGACTGCTGATCCCTACAATATGTTGTCCTCTAAAACTGCAGTGAGTTCACACAAAGAGAACAACTGACATATTGTCCCACTTACCCTGAGTAGTATCATGCCATGCAGGGAGTTCGAGGTTAATCTGCTATGGTTTCACATCTCTGTTTGTTGCTTAGACTTCTGCCACCACCTCTACACAGTGATGGGGAATTGCATTTGGGTTTGATACGCAAAACATAAAAAATAATGACGCACAGTCTCTAACCAGAACGCGTGCAGCTCTCAAACTGTTAATGATGGTCAGGCTTCTATCAAGATAACACAATGCTGTTAAAATAGAAGTGCAATTTTCCAACACGATGAAATTACATTTAAGTTGTTCTTCACGTGGTCTTATTTTGGGTCTAACTATGTTTTCTTTTCTGAGATGAAGTTTCTCCAAATACCTCTAACCTGACCATTACATGGGTTTTATTTGGCTTGTTAACTGCTACAGTTAAATGTTGTGACCTGAGGTGCCTGGTGTAACTGTGCTGCACTGTTTATAGAATGGAATAAGAAGGAATGCCGTTATTTTCTGATGTCTGCACAAGTTGAGGTCTGCAGGGTTCTGACCAAATAAAATCCACTACGTTCCTTCTCTTTAACAATGTTTTCCCGGGTAACACGGCACTCTGGTTATCTGGGATAAAAGATTGCAGATGTCCTCGCCTGGGACAGCGTAGCACTGTGTGCCCCATCTGATTAATGGTGATTGGGATGGTTTGCCAGACCAAGAAGATCCACTGCGCAGTAAAAAGGGACTATTCCATGACATTAGATAGTGAACAGTTTGACAGGATCTTGAAAAATGCAAATAAGGGGATTTGTTACTTATGTCACAGCCACATGTGTGTGCGTGTCCTTTTGAATTAGACCTGCTCATGCTCAGCACTAACAAACATTGATTCAATGATAATATGCACCTTTGACATAACATGAGCAGATGGACCGAGCAACTGCAAGCATTTTGGCACCAACATTGCACTGAATAATAATCAGAATCAGAGGCCATTTATTGCCACACATGTTACACATAGAGGAGTTTCTCTTGTCTGCAGTGTTTGATTCTAACTGACAACCTGGCACCTACTGCATGTCGTCAAGTGTCACACTCAATTGAGTCGGTTTTCCCTGAAATTTTGCACTTTACCTACATCTTTTTTTTAAGTCAAATGATAAAAGTGTGCTTTTACATTGCCCAGTCTTCTGGAAACAAAGTAAATGAATTTAGTAAATGCGTCTTCTTTTCCCCAGCAGGTGTACCCATGCAGCAATGACAAGGAGTGCAGCGTGGGAAGCTACTGCCACAGCCCTCAACAGGCTCCCTCACGTTGCCTCAGTTGCCGCAGGAGGAAGAAGCGCTGCCATCGAGATGCCATGTGCTGTCCCGGGAACCGATGCAGTAACTGTACGTGTCTGAAAAAGTTTTCAGTGCATGCCTGTGTCAGTAATATTGGGACTGCGGGAGAATATTCAACACATGCTTTCTGATAGAATCCTATTTTTCCACAGTTTTCAATTATTGCAAAAAGGTTTAGAAACCAGCAGTTTTCTACTATGAATCGAAATTCAGAAATAACTAAGAAAAGCTGCTCCCACATCAATCTGATCTTCAGCCTTGTTGGCCTCCAGCCTTAACAATCTCTTAGGTTGACTTGTTTCTTGACAAATTGAAGTCTATTAAGCTATTGTTCCGTCATGTTTAATCTCTTTTTTTTATAATCCTGTCCACAGACATGTGTGTCCCCATCTCTGAGAGTGTGCTCTCACCTCACATCCCAGCTTTAGACGAGCACAACAAGCTCTCCAACAAAGACCACGGCTGGAGGAAGAGCGGGAAGGGACATGCTAAGCATTCTCTCAAAGGTGAGAAGATGTTTAAAACATCGTCCGCTGGGAAACCCTGCTCTCAGTAAACACTGTCAATGTTGTTTTGCCCCTCAGCTTCCCTGCTGACGATGGCAAAATCTCTCTGTTGTTCGCTGTCTGCCTGTCCTACAGAGCTCAATGGGCGACGCCAGTCCACAAACTACGTTGATAATTACGCCTCTGCTCGTGTGTCGGTGTCTGTGAACCATGTCATTGGAAGCACACACACTCGTGCGATGCACAAGTGAAAACCGCAGAATGCGGGTTTGGCGTGATTGTAGCTAATAACTTTCTGAGCCCCCTGCTTAGTGTTCATGTCACCTGATTTAAGTCAACGTAAGGGCCCATTCATGAAGCAATTTGTTTAACGAGACACTTAAATTACTCAACTCTGAATGCACCCTAAAGACAGCAGGCTGCTCTTATAATGAAAAGAGCAGCACTACCTAAAGTTGCAATAAATAAGACCATTTCATTTTATTTCTGCTTGAGTCACCCCCCCCGCTAAACCATTCTATTATAATGGCTTCATGTAAGTTGCAGCTTTAGACAAAATCCACCAAGAATCCGGGGTGTTAAAGCTAAAGTTAAACAAACAAGCAGTCAGGCCGATGTTTGGAACTTCAAAAATACTTTCAGCAAAATGTGGTCTTGTCAGCAATACGGAAAGGAAAGGAAGCTTTTGACAGGAGGTGAAGCACATTTAAAAACTGCATGACTAAATTATACTAATTATGCATTCTTAAGAGGATTTCTAACATCGGTCTCAGACCAGATGGGACGATATGGTTAATATACAGCATAAGCAGATTGTTTTCTTGATTTATGATGAAAGCTTCACGCTTTTCTTTGGTCTCTGACATGGCCACATGTAACACAAACTGAATTGAAACACGAAGAAAGGGATGCATAAACTTATCCGCATGGAAAACCTAACAGCTTAATGAACAATAATCGTACATTTCCTGTGCTTTTTTTCTTAACCGAAGCACTATACAGCAAAACCGCATGATGCAAGATAATCTATACTTTCATGCAGGTCTGTTTCGTCTACGATGAAGCACTTGGTTCTGTGTTTTCTTCTGAGCAGACGATACGTCGACCACCGCACACTGTTTGCAGATTATCTCATTCAGTGGTTCCCCAACTGATCGGCCCTGTTTCTCCCCCCCCCCTCTGTTAGGGCACGAGGGCGACCCTTGCCTCCGCTCATCCGATTGCTCCGAGGGCTACTGCTGCGCCCGCCACTTCTGGACCAAAATCTGCAAGCCGGTGCTGAGACAGGGCGAGGTGTGCACCAAGCAGAGGAAGAAAGGCTCGCACGGCCTGGAAATCTTCCAGCGCTGCGACTGTGCCAAGGGCCTCTCCTGCAAGGTGTGGAAAGACGCCACCTCCTCGTCCAAGTCCAGGCTCCACATGTGCCAGAAGATCTGAAGCAGCCGGGTGGGGGGGAGCCGCTCTCGGCGTAGGGGGCCTCTGTCTCCATCTGACGCGGAGGTTTTAAGGGACGGGTTGTGGCTCCGTTGGAAGGGGAGTAAAAGACAGAGACTGACGAGAGAAAGAACAGACTGTGTGAGTTCAAGCTCGCTATTCGGAGTGCGAGTGGGATGGTTTGTAATGCGTTTGCTGTGAGGGGTCAATCCCTGCACCCACACACAAACATGCTCCCTCACGCACACACATGCACGCACGCGTCATAGGTTTGTTAACGAGCTCACAGATCTTTTTAGCCACTCTTGTGACATTCAGGGAGCCACTTGTTAGCCAGTATATGCTGTGATAGGTGTAACAGACGTAGCACTCTTTTATCATAAACTCAACTTATACTATTTATAGACGAGCCATATTTTTACTGCATGGCACATTCTTTACATAACCCCAAAGTCAAAGATCCGAGGTGGGTTTTTCATTACTTGATCTGATCTGCCGTATTCTTAGATTTCAATATCTCCATCTGCTTAAATTGTTGGTTTTAAGTATTGACAAATTCAGCAATGCAAGACATTTGCAAGCTGTAACAACGGCCAATCGTACGAGGAACGTATTCCATCCAACGTTCACTCCGGAGCTCGACTTGTGTAACGGCATCCTGAGACTTCAGTGCACGCACAATACTCTTAAAACCAAAGAACGAAAGAATATTCCCATCAGAGTGATGAGTTTCATCTGGGACATTAGCTCGCCGGCATTTTTCTCCCACGAGAAGAGAGATAAAGTATTATGTCCGCTGTGGAAACCTTGTTTGATCTGATCTGATACAGCTGCAATCTATTGTGAAACAGCCGGGTGGGTTGAGGCAGTTTGCACTGAGGTGGTGCTCCGCTTCAGACTCTGCGGTTGCGATACCAGAGCCGAGAATGGTTCTGCTTTTCCCAATCACATGAACAGGACTCAAGGATACCGCGGAGGGGTAATTTCCCTTTGTTTACAAAGCCAGTAGGAATGGAGACGTGAGAAAAACATGCTTCATGAACTGAACGTTTTCAAAGAGAATTTCAGTTTGAATCAACTTCATGTTGATAACAATCAGCCCTGTTTATTTTTTTTTGTTTTTCAAATGCGACTGCATACTTTCTAGTGACGAAACACTTGGCAGTTTTGTGATACTGGAGGTGAACCAATGCTTATCTCCCTCGGTACAACTTAAACATCCCCTTGTTGCGTACATATCCAATATGATATCACATTTGCCTCTTTTTGCTTTACGGTCTTAGAGCATTAACTACACATAATTTGTAACCATTTAAAATATCAATAAGCTCTAATATTGTAAATAGATTGGAAACAATGAAATGTATTTAAGACTCAATGTATATCGTGTACATATGATAAAGATATGGTTCTTAACATATCTTAACAGCAAAATGATCTAGGTGAGAACAGAAATGACGGATTAAAGGGAAGAGCACAATTGGATGGATTCAGAATATTGTTGTAATGATAAAATCTCTGTGTATTGCCAGAGGGGACAAAATAGATACAGACTGGATGCATCCAACGGATATTTGGAAGAAAAGAGACAAGCACATGAATTGGTTGTGTACATGCTGTCCAGATTTATATCTCACTAAATATTGTCTGTGTTTTGATTTGTTTCGCGTATTTACAATGATGAATGAATAAAAGAATGTATTTTGTATCATTTGTTAATCTTGACTGGTATTACTTGAGTTGCTTGTTGTGCATTTTGTTAAGTTTTCAAAGTGTAAAACATTGAGGTAAAACAAAATGAAGATGACATATATTTCCACTATAAATTGAAAACAAAACAAGAAAAATGTTCATGAAGAAAATGATGCATGACTAAATCAACAGACAAAGTTCTGGGGAAAATCACAGTTGTGTAGCTCACCTGGAAGAGGTAAACCATGGGAATAAACTGGATTGACTGCACCTCCTGATGGTGGATATACACCCTCAATAATACATTTTAAAAACAATTTTTCAAATGAAAATGAAAAATGAAGTGTTAAAAGTAGCAGTTGCACTGCTTAAACATGATTAAATAATAGAGCTCTTGTAATAGTGAGATTATAGGGCAGTGTGTCAATTGACCATATAATCCAATCTGAATTAATCATCATTTGAAATATGTTTTGGAGAATCACTTATGTAGAAAATCCTGAAACCGTCCACGGTCACTTAAAACACCTATTGTGGCCGCATTTGAGACTTTTTCCTTCTTTCTAATTAGACTTTGTAAGACCCATTTTAAGATGATGCATTATAGATGTGATCCATTGACGATACGCTCTGAAATACTCTTTTTACAATACATCATTTGCAGGATGTGTTTGGTTAGTTCGAGATCCCTTGCTTCATAGAATCAAATATAACATGTAACATTATGGAATAGAAATGATTCAATGGAATCTTTGGATATGATCAGTGTCCTCCATCGCCAATGTGGCAACATGTGCTGAAAGCTCGCTGAGAGGCAAATGTCGAGGCAAAAAAGATTTTCAAACATTATTACGGCTATTCTCAAGAGTGCTCCTCATTTTTTCTTTCTTCTGTAACAAGAGACATTACATATTGCAAGAAACACCAAATGCATCGTTGTGGTGATATTGTTTTCCAAAATATGCTTCGTTCTGTTCTAATAAGGTTTGATTCATTGGCCGGGGAGTCGTTCTTTCACGTCAGGTCATCTTTTTATATCCCTTCCCCAAAAAGAGTCAAATTCTGGAGTCAAATTCTTAAATAAATCTTAATCTAAGTAGCAGTACCATTTAGCTACTTTCGAGTCCTTTTTCAGGTTCTTATTAAAGCAGTTTGAACCAGATGTGATTAGGTGGCCGAAGAAGCTGCTGCATTGCTACAATACATCTACTACAGAATTGTTAGTGATTTACAAACATTTTGCAGTAAATTCTCCAAAACATTCCGTCAGTATATGTTTATATGACAGCCATGTGGCCAGAATTCCACAAAAAGCTCAACTCATTGGGACCAGTGAGTACAAATTGTTTAACATAAACATCTGGCGCTACTATGAAACGAAAAGAGCACGTTGATCCAAAAGGATATTATCTGTCTTGTTGCAGATTTGCCAGGTATGATTTGCCTTCTGCCTCTAAGTCCTTTGAAAAATATTTAACTTTTAACCTTTTTAGCTTATTTTTCCGACTGTGTGGAAAAGTTCGGGAGGGACCTCTTATGTAAATGTGTTAACCAGATGTTAAATGTTTATATTTCCTAAAAAGGTGTGACTCCTCGAGGTTTATTTATTTACACCATTATCATCTCCTGTTTGTTCTCACATTATATCACTACAAGCAATATTGTCAAACAGAACATTTGTGCTCGGTGGACACAGTTTTGATGAGCGTTAGGCTTATCGGTTTTGAAGCGGTATAATAAATCATTTCTACAGCAGGTGGTCAGTCCGTTTTTTTTCCCCATGTGTTTTGATTGAAAGCAATGACTCTACCCAACGTTCGTTCGGATACGGTTTCAATCATCAAAACCTCCTCAAACACAGAAAAAAAAGGTACATTCAGGGTCTCCATGGAGAGAAGAGGTAGATACAGAAAGAAAGCCCTTTTTCTCAAGCTCCAGGCCACCCACAGGCTCTGGAGTCTCCAGCAGAAACCTGCTAATGAGAGAGTCACTGTCCCCGGCTTGGCACTTTCCAGCGTGCGTCAGCGTAAAATACCAATGAAGGCATTCACGCTGTCAGGTTTGACTGCCCACGAAGTTGCCAGCTAAATAAATATGCTGAATGATTCAGGCTCTTTGATTTTGTGCCCGTGTAAGCAGACCATAAATGTAATTTGGGTATTTATGGCTCATATCGTTCACTGTGAAGGAGAGGGAAAGTCTTCTGGAGTAAGCAGCCTTCGTGACTTTATCACGTGGCCGTCTGCATTTGTCAGACTTACACTTATTACAAGCTGACCAAAATGAAGACATCAGCAGTTGTTTAATTTGTATGGCAATAAGATGGCTTTAATTTGAAAACGAATGCTTTTTAAACAACTGGGGATTAGTGGAAGAGAACAGACACTATCATACTGCATCTAAAGCAATGATGGGGTTTGTCCCATTATAAAAATGATATCTGTATCTTATAGTAATTCACAGATTGTTTGAAACAATTACTCAGTTATAGTCAACCCTTGAATATTACTTAAATAAAAGTTCCTGACTGTGTCACATTATTATAGTTAATAACAATGCATTAACGCGTGACCGTATGTTTCTTTAGTAGGTGGTTGAGGTGCAGCTTTATTAGTATTAAGCTATAAATAGTTTTTGGCAGTTTAGTCTGTTAATTCCCAAACTAGGGGTCTATTGAATGGAAAAACAAAGTTCTGCTAATTCAATTTGTTATTGTGTAAATTTTCTATCAAATTTGCATGTTGTCAAAATAATAGGGGCATCAATACTTTATTTAAACAAAACCAGAAGTCTCAAGTGGTGACAAAACAAAACTCATTGGGGATCTTTTATTTTTATTGATAATAAGTCTGAGGATCACATTAAATGTTTTAAAATATGTTCCCTGAAAAGGGAAATATAACTCAAACTTCCCTAGAAGCCATTTTGGATCATGAGCGATTGTCATCATCCAGTCTGCTCACATTGTACAAATCATTACAACTGGCAGAGTTTGGATTGTGTCATTTCATCAGGGGTTACAGTTGTTATTTTCCACAACCTCTCGTTGCTTTAGCAAATGCTCCAAGCAAAGAAACTTTTTATTTTTAAATTATCAGAGGTTATCCAAAAAGATGGAATGTCTCTGCCAACTCACAACCCCTGGACTTCTGCCTGGTCGACCACTGCTCTTTGTCCCGCTCCACTGTTGGTTAAAACAGTTAATCCTTAATGGAAATACCACAGTGTGTAATGGACCTTCCAATAACCGCGCAAAACAAAAAAGTTCTTTTGCATGTCCTTTAGAAAAATCTTCTCACATCGTAACAAATCAGCTCTTATTCTGTGAATATCATGATGCTCCATCCTTTAGAAACACTCACGAACACTCACTTTATTTGAGGTTTTTTAAATCATCCCAAATCCCGCAAATCCCACTCTGCTAAAAAATACTTGGTCACTGAGCCATTCGTTTATCGTAATTCATCACACGGCAGTCGATCTATGAATCCCTTGCAAAAACAGTCCTCTTTAAATTTAAGAAACACAATGAAGAAAAAAATCCTGCATTCAAGAAGGTTCTAGAAGTTTCACTGTTTTTTTCTCAGCATATAGATTTATTCCTGTTGAATAAATCCGTATGCTACATGTTACTGATGTAGGTGAATGCCTTTAGCTGTCCACAAAGAAGTCATCTGCAATCTCCTATTATTGCATTTCTCTAGAAACTAAATGTGCAGAGTGCTGGAGCTTTATTACAAAAGGGGGACAGTGACAGAAACGTTCCTGGGGCACAGCTGCTACACGGTCAACCACGTTCATCCTATTGCCTTTTGTCTCACATGTTTAGTAGTGACATTGTTTGTTGTTGACAGAAGGATGCAAACATTAAGAAAATGTATTCCGTTTGCACAACTTGTCTGCTGTATATTTGAACTGGAGGTACAGGTTTCCACATCACACATGATCGGCTTGTGAATATGACATCTCAAATCATACATTATTTATATGGTTTATACACACATTAAGATGAGCAAAGGGAGACGTTCTTCCATCATCAGATGAATGTGAAAACGGCTTTTGAGTGTCGAAATCTGCCAAAACATAAGTTAACAAAAAAGAAAACAACGTGACAAAGTGACAAAACATGTTTAGTTCAATTCCAAGCAAATAAACTGGCATCTCAAACATTTCCACAAAGTGGTGTCATGTTTTCTCACAAGTTAGTTTCCAACAACTAAAGTTTGTTCCTCTATTGGGAAATGTGTGGATTTCATTTGTGTTTGACAGTTGTCATAAATCTCCAGCATGTTCCCCAACATTTACCAAATGATTTTTGAAGTTTGCAAACACAATTTCACATCCTTTGAGGACGTCTCATGTTGTTCTGGAAACTTTAACAGTAAAGTGGTAATTTGTTCTTTGTTTGTGGCTAAAAAAGACTGTTAAGAAGCATTCAACTTCGACACATGAGTTCTCTTTGGAAGTGTTTTGCATTTCTATCAAACACATTAAACAACATTACAGTGATGTTTTGTCTTCCACCTGTGGGCTTTTCAAAGGAATCGTTGCCTACTGGCCAAACTAGAAAAACCTTTCCATCATTGGCAGGTAGAGATGCATCCAAAAAGGAATGCTGGATGATGCGCCAAACCTCAAGCAGTTCTTTTTTCGTCCATGTTGTCAGTATTCATATTTATTGATTTCTGTTTTCATAGTTTTGAGGTCAGGATTTTGTAATGTCTATTTTTTCATTCAACACAGCAGGAAAACATTAGAAAACAAGTGGAACAAAACACATGGCAGATCGCCAAAGAGTTGTGTCTATGCTTTTCTTTTCGATCGACTCTTCATGTGCACATTAGACATTCAAATACTAGATCCAATTACTTCATCCAGGAGTTCTGATTCAGACAACATGTGCTCAAACAAATCTTGACCAAGGCCTCACATCTGCACAATAGCCATCCGTGACATCTGGTGGGCGATGTCTGTATATTTATGAATCCAAATATGAGCATAACCTCAACTACATGTACATGTGTACA